GAAGCATAAGTTTTATGTTTCATCCCAGATCGCGCAAAATGCTAAAAAAAAATTTACAATAGAGTTTATAATTGAAAGTTTTTCATGACAACAGTTTTGTTTTCGGTTCTAGGGAAACTATTCAAGTTTTGTCGGCTCAGTTGTCACTTTTCAATTATTATTTGAATTTTCAATAATTGCTGTCGATTGTGTTCCTGGAAATTTTTCGCAACTAAAGTATGATTCCAGACAAGATTCTAATTTTTTTATGTCGTGGTTTTTGAAATGTTATTTTTTGGACGTGGCTTTCTTTTCCTGTCTGCTAGCTTACACTGCTATACTGCTATTTGTATGTTGTATCGCAAGTGGTGCGAAGCTCTGCTTTGCCTCTGTGTATGATTTCATCATCAGTGTAAAGTTAGAAACAAATTATTAAATGATAAAATTTCTCAATCACTCGTAGTTTTTTGTGTCACTAGAGTTTCATTGAATGTTTTGCAGATCTTTTACTCAGAAAATGTTTTACTCAGAAGATGTTTTACTCAGAAGATGTTTTACTCAGAAGATGTTTTACTCAGAAGAACATTACCATACTCCATTTGTAATTAAAATACTTAATTCAGCGAGCGTACTGCAAAACTAGCATGTTACAAAATAGGAGTATGAAAAACTTTATATTTTCAAATCACGGTTAAAAAAAAACATCAATAGTTCCGATACATTTTTTTGTTGTGCGGTTGTTCCTATCTGCTTTGTCTTTAGTTTTTTTCGTTTTTTCCCACCCAAATCATGGCAAGCCTGCTGTACAATTTTTGAGCGCATAATTGTACCCCATACTAAATGATTGTTAAGCGTAAAATTTAAGATTTTAACGAGCATAAATCTTATTTTTTGAAATTCTGGTCAAAAAATGCTGTTTTTTTTTTGCTTTCCGAGCTAATGAAACGAAGCTTTTCAATTTTGCGTGACTTATAGAAGTTCCTTCCGGGTATGAAAACTGGGGCAAAATTGTTCAAAACCGACTGTACTTACTTAAAACTACTGTAATCAAAGGCAGTTGTTTTTTTTAGAAATTCGAAAAATATGTACAAAAGCGCTAAATTCTAGAGCACAAAGAACATTTCAAAAAAAATATGGTAATAATTGCTTCTAAATCAACATAAAAATCATTAAAATCAAAAGTGACTCTTACGCTTCCATGGTCAGTCATTGTGAAGCCTGAAACAAAATATTAAATTGTAAGGTTATTTTACAATCAATCGTATTTATTTTTTCTCACTGAAATCACATTGAATTAATTGTACATCTTTTGACATAAAAAAGAGAAAATTTTAAGCACGTTACTACACTCATTTTTAACAAAAAATAACTGATTTAGCGCATTCCAAGTAAAATAGAATGGTTTTCCAACAATTTAGGCCTCTCAAAATGGTTCTATATAATTGACTGTGGTATTAAATTAAAAATGTGTTGTTTTTTTCTCTAATTTTTTTGTAGTCTTTTCAGTTTTGTAGTCTGTTTCAATTTTGGTTTTAATTTTTCACCTTTTTGTAACAACAATTTTTGTTGTTTTTTTTTGAAGAAAAAAATCATCAAATGATTGCCTAATGTAAAAATGAATATTCTACTGAGCAGTATTTTTTGGGCTTCTGGAGAATAAAGGCTATTTTTTGCTTTCTGAGGTACTGAACTAACGGGTTCAATTTTGCAAGATCTATTAAATTTTCTTCAAAGTCTGAAATATGGGACAAATTTTGTTCAAAATTGACTATACCTCTGTTACTACTGCGGCTGTTTTGGTAGAATTTTGAAGAAAAACATACAAAAAGGGTTAAATTAGAAAGCATAGCGGACATTTCAAAAAACTATTACTAGACTGCTTCTAAAACTCAGATTATTAGCGACTAGCATGCTTTCATCGATATATAGTGTGAAACCAGAAACAAATTTTTTCAATCATTCGTAGTTACTTTGTGTCACTGGACTGACTTTGCAGATGATTGACATCGAAACTTTCAAGGAAAATACTACACTCCATTTGCTATATAAAATAAATAGTATAGCCAACTCCGAAAATATAGAATGCTTTTTCAACAGTTTTAGGCGTCTTATGATTATTTCTAGATGATCAACTGTGGTACACAATCACCAAAATTGTTGTTGTTTTTCGGTGATTTAGTTTTTCACAATGTTATCTCGGTATATAACTTTTTGCAGCTGAGACAAAAAATAATATTGTCTCATGTTACAAAATAGAATACTAGGAGACATTTTGATCTTGTTTCCGATATGTTGTATAAATACGTCATTGTTGTGCAGTTTTTCTGGTCTGCTTCAATTCTAGTTTTCTACATTTTCTTTTTTTTTTTTTAAAAATGGCAAGTGTTTCTTTTGTTTACTTTTGTCTGAAAAGTTTGCCTTATTTAAAATTTAAGATTTAAATGAGCAGAAATATATAACGTTTTGAGCTTTTTGTGGCTATTTTTCGCTTTCTGAGCTACTGAACTGAAGAAAATCAATCTAGCAAGACTAATTAAACTTTCTTCCAATCTTAAAAACTGGAGCAAAAGTTGTTTAAAACTGACTGTATTTTTGCTATTAAATGCGTTTGTTTTTGTAGAAGCTGTTAAAAGATGTACAAAAAGCGCTGAAGTCTAGAGCAAGGAAGACATTTCAAAAAATTATGATTAAATTGTTTCAAGAGCAACATAAAAATGAGCTCATATCTTTTCTTTTCATGACTCTTATCTTTTCATCGCCATTAAATGTGAAGCTAGACAAAAACTTTTAAATGACCAGGTTTTTTCAATCACTCTAATTCATTTTGTGTCACAGGAAAAACACTGAATTTTTTGCAGATTCTTCACGGAGAAAAATTAAAGAACAAAACCACACTCAATTTGTAATATAAAGCAGTTGACATAGCGTACAACAAAAATATAGAATGATTTTGCAACAATTTCAGGCCTCTATGACTGTGTCTAGGTGATCGACTGTTGTAATAAATCAAAAAATTTGTTTTTTTTTCTATGATTTAGTTTTCCACAATACATTTTCAGTTTTGAAACATCTGCAGCAACCAATAAAAGACTCTGTTTGGTAACCAATCGAAGATTGGGAATTTATGTCCAAAAACAATCTATGGCTGAAAAAACAACATCATTAATTCAAATTTTAAAATTTTGTGCCTTTCTTTTTGTCTCTTATTTTTCTAAGAAGTTTTTCTGGCAAGTTTTTTATGCAGTGATTAATTCTGAGGTGTATATGAAATTTGAAAACATAGAAAACTGCTCACATCAGGTCCTGAACATAACAGCTGCCTCTTGAGCTCTAAAGAAAAGTGTTCGCTTCAAAACATTATGATATATTTCTCAAAAATATGAAACTACGCTATCAAACTACGCTAACTGTAACCAAAGTACAAGCAAACTACGCTTCCACAGTGTAGAAAACTACGAGAGACACAAAGTTTTGAAAACCGCAAAGTTTGTTGTTTGCTAGTCCTGGTGGCACCGCGCGCTCATGCGTATCAAAATAGCGCTAGAAACCCTAATCGAATTAAAAAAAGAGATCTCGACCTCATTACCAATTGTAAATCGAGCAGGTACTTTTTTATTCCTCCTAACTAATACACTCCCTGATGTTATTATTAATGATATGTAAACATGGAGCGACAGAAATTTATGAAAATAATTAAGCTTTGACAAATTGTTCACAATTTTGAATGACATAACTATTGACTTCTGGCACCTGAACGAGGATAACTTAATACTGTTAAACAAGACATCTTCGATAAAAATCAAGAAATGTATCGCGCATTAATTATCCCAAATTGGCCAAATTGATACAATATAAAACCCTCTTAATTTAACAAAAAAATAATCCCAGTTGAAATAAATATATTTTTAAATTTATGCCCTAGACAATAATAGCTTTCGGTTGATATGCAAAAGTTAGGTCTAAAATTTTAGTTAAAAAATGGAAGTTTGTTTGAATAAAAAAAACATGCCGAGCATAAATATCCCTCCTTTGCTTTGAAAGTCGGAACCATAATAAAAGATCAACTTATTTCAGCGCCATTAAACAAATGGTAATCTTGAATTTTCCAACAGATTTTTTCATTATTTCAAATCGGGGCCAATAATCATGCGAAGATTGCGTGTTTCAAGAATAATATTCCATCATTCAATGTAAGATTAGATTTAGAATTGTGGACTTCGGATTGTCAAACTAATTGTTCCGACTTTCGAAGAAAACTGAATATTTATGCTTGGTGTGGTTTTTTTATTCAGTCAATTTTCGGCAATCTAACTAATAGTTTTTAACAAACAATTTTTTATACTCCATGGAGAATATTCAATCGCTAAAACCAAATATAAAAAGATATTTTACCTCCAAGCAGTTTTTGCAAAGTTCTAGGAGTTTGAAAATTGCCAATTTGGCCTTGTTCTGGACAAATTTATGCGCGTTTTGAAAATTTTATGTTGAGAACGTAACAGCTATTACTTATGCGTGGCGAACTAACCCGCACAACAAAATTGTTCCAAATTGAATTGAGGCTGGCTAAATGGTCGTGTTAATTTCGTACAACTCAAATTCATCCACTTGGTTTTTGATTTTGTCCAAACTTGATAGTTTTTCAATCCTTTCTTTACCCAAAAACTATTCGATATGGATTAAGAGGCAGTCGGAACATTCAGGGCATTGCCCTTGTATAAAAGTACTATTGTTAAGATCGAGTTAGGATTGCTCTAGCGCGCCAAAAATTTCCGCTTTCAACAAGGCTTTGCACAAAACTCTGCACTTTGCAAACTTTCCGCTGCCAACAAGATCATGGCACGGTAACAATATATGACAATGTGACAGAAAAAAAATCAAATTTTCGTTGTCTCGTTTCTGGCCTGATATTTATTGACTATGTTCACATAATATGATTACAAATATATATAGCCTGACCTCATAGTCATATTTTTCTCGGCCGCTTTCTCAATTTAGTTGGTATATTTTGTTAGCAAAACAGCCTCCAACTCAGCTATATAGAATGCGTTTTACATATTTACTTAAAATCTATACGCCAACACAAAGTGCATTCTATACTAAAACCAACATAAAATCAAAACTCAGATTATTTTATTATTCGCTCGTTCAGTTTGGTAATTTCTGTAATATTTTGTTACCAGGTTTAAATACTTCAGTTTTATTACTCTTATTTACAGCAAATACAGTCGCAAGAGAATTGCAAGAATAAAATAGGTAGCGAAACCAGAAAACATAGAACTAAGAGCGAGAAAAAATCTACAAAACGTGAGAACTCCTGCTGTCTTTGACTTCTGAAGACCCTGATTCACCTGCAGAAGTTTTTCCTATATATTTAAATGTATACTTTGAACAGAATTACATCCATCAACTCTTTACTGATTGACTTATTAGGTTTATTAGGCTTATTATCATTATTACGATTATAAACTATCAAAACTTCATTCGGGTTACTTCGGGTTGATATTAGTTAGACTTTTTTTTACTATTTGATTGGTGTTAATCCACTAATTTCCTAAATCTCCCTGCTTCAATTTGAAAGTATAACCTGCTCGACTTCATTTTTACATTGCTACTCCATGAACGAAATTATGGAGAAGGTTCCTTTTTGGGCAACTCATTCGGAGCCTGGCCATCAGTCATCATCGAGCACATTCCAACAGCAAAAATGGTTCGCTCATTCATACTCGGAACCTATAAAGGTGAGGCTTCATTTTCTTGTGCTATTGTTGTAGCGTTTTTAGGTCGGCCCAATTAGCCCGGAAGATAAGAGCAAACTGTTTTACAAAAAAAAGGATCTCATTATGGGAAAAGTTTTCTGCGTTTTTGGCGCGGATTCTTCCTTTTTGGGCGCGGATTCTTCCTCAAAATGCGTTTTTGGCGCGGATTCTTCCTCAAAATTAGTATATTTGACGCCAACGGAAAAATTAAGGATGATTGATCAAAAATTGATGCCAGATATTCCTTAAAATAGTACCAAAGGGTTGTCCACTTAGGTAGTCAAGGGGTCGACTCCCTAGAAGGGAGCGTCCACCCCACGCTTCCCTTAAATTCGCTCCTGGATTCAGCAAATACATTAAAGGCTTAAATTATGTTGAAAAGTTTTTTTCAAGTTTGAACAGCGCTTGGAAAGGGGTTCTGTAAATTACTTAACTGAATACCACTATCTGATTTTTTTTAGTTTGACTGGAATCAGGTGTATTGCCAAAAGAATGGTCAAAACAGGGAACAGCCAGAGCGCATGGATTGTTCTGGGAACGTTTGCTCTCAAGAAAGTTTGCTCTCAACGAATCAGCGCAAGGAACTCGACTCAGCTGGAGTTGAGCAACAAGAGAGCGTTGAATCAATTTTGGACCAAATTAAAGCAGGCAAACTTGAAGCAAGCACTCCAATTCTGACTAGTGTGTGCACTAAGAAAAACTTGATTTGCATCAAGGCGGAGCAGGTCAAATTACTTCAACGGTTCGCAGAAGATATGGAAGGGAAAAAAGGGTTCGAGACATTGAGAACTCGTCCTGTTAATCTCTTGGTCGCAGGCACGAAAGGAAAATCTTCTGGAGAAGCTGTGAATTATGGCAAAAACGACGATTGTCTCAATTGCGAAGTGGTTGTGAAAGTGTTTCTGAATGGTGCTAGAAGTGAGGTTGGGAAGTCTGTGTCTGTGTGTGTATCAGTTGTGAACAGAGACGATGACAAACAGAATGTTCTAGAAGGTGATGACAAGCAGCATGTTCCAGAAAATCGGAAGCTAGTTGTCTCGATTTATCTGAAACATCCCAACAAGGAGAAGCCTTACAGGAAAGACTTCACGATGGATTTCTGTCCTAAACTGGAGGAGAGAGAAAAGGGACTGTTAAAGCTCATTTCGAAAGAGAAACTGGACGACTACCTTGCAGATGACGGTTCGGTCACTTTCGGTGTGTCTGTGATTCTATTAGGATCAAACGCCCACACCGAGGAGTGATTGTTGCCGCAATTATGCCAAACAAAAATCTTTCAAATGAAAAAAGAATTGTCATTTTGATAACTATCGACCTCCCCTATAGTACCTAGTGAACAACTTCCCACTCGCAAGAACGATTTCAAGTTGAACACATGCAAACTTGTCACAAAGGGGGTAGTTTGTTCATAACTAACAAGGTCCAAATATCGATTATTTGAAAATGAAATGGAAAATTAAAAAAATGTGTACAATTTTGCCTAGCGTTAGTGGAAAATATATGCTTCAACAATTCAATCTGGTTCAAATTTTCTAAGAAAGCAATCCGGAAAGCTCAGTTGCTCAGAAATTAAATAGGGTAGACAGTTACTTTTATGAAATACCCGTAGCCATGAAGTAATTCACGACGTTGAGGCAGCTATATGTAGCTTACTAGTTGATGGCATTTTTTGATTCAGTACAAGATGGTCGAAATTAAAAAAAAATGTTTTGTGAATGTTTCAGGGGACAGTCAAAAAAATTTGAAACACTACGAAAGTTGATATAAATTTTCCTTAAAAGCACCTTAAGTTAGGTTAACTGTTAAGGCAAAAAGGTCTCACCTTAAGTAAACCTCAAGCCACCTCAACTACGGTCTTAACTCAGCTCAATTGTACTTTACAACTTGTAGGGGAACTACCTTAGTTTTTACCTTAGGTCAACCCAAGTTTATTTAAAAAAACAACATTAAGCCACCTAAACGAATACCTTAGCGTACCTCAACTTTACATAAAAACTTGAGGAGGAGTTACCTTGAACTTTATCTCAAGTTACTTGAAATTTACCTTTCAACTGCAGATTAATCTCAATAGTTAAGCAAAAAAATTTTAAGGGTGAGTTGAAGTAAACACAAGGTAAAAGCCACCTCATGTTTTAAGATTTGACTGCAGTATCAACATTTTAGTCCTTGCTTTTACAAATTGACGCATAGGCGAAGCTGTGCTTCACACCATTTGCGATACAAAACAGGAAGCCGCTAACTTTAAAAAAAAATGGAAATGAAAATAGAAAATGTCAAAAAATTAGATCTATCAAAAAAAATTTAACACACACACACAAAGTGAGGTACAATATAAGGCCGTTTAGACGATATAATATTGGCCGAAATCTGTCACACCGAAAAAAATGGGAAAAAAATTGCTATGAAAAACTTGAACAATAATATAACAATTTTTGCTACTCAGAAGTGAGCATAAAAATTATGTTTCCATAAAGACCATTTGAAAAAGCTCACTAAGTTGATGAAACTTTAACGGATATCAATTAGGCAGAAAAAAAATAATAACACTAAAATTAAATACACTGTAAATTGCGTATAGCAAAAAACAACAATTTTACGATTTGGCGACTAAACAGTCAAAACAAAAGCAGACAAATAATAGGCTGAAGTTTTGTTTTTGCAACCGAATTTTTACCGTTTGAAAAAAATAGGTGCTGTCAGATTCAAACCCATGACCTTTGCGGTCCCAGGCGTGCTCCTTACCACCAGACCAGATTTGCTGGAGACGGAAAAATGTTGTATTCATTTTAACTTGAATTTAAATGTACCATTTCTAGTTATGACGATTCTGCGAACAAAGTTATTTACGGGAAAAGTTTTTAGTGCCGATTGCAGTACCCCTGCTTATTGCAAGGGTAACTATGTTTCCAAAAATTCCATGTTTTGCTTCTAATGGTTTTGAAAGAGATCTAAAGGTTTTCGATTTTGCCTTGATTCAAAAAGACACCTCCCAAATAATTTTTCAATTTCCCGAAATTTATCATAACCTCATTAGGTTAATTTTATTTTCTTAAGGTAAAGGTAGCTCAAGTAATTTTAAGGTAAATGAGGTAAGCTATCATTTTGTCTTAATTTGAGTTACTTAAAGTAAGCTTACCGCATTATAGAACATCATAATGGACCTAAAAAATTTAGGGGATAACTTTTCGTAGAAATGAATTAGGAATGCACAATCAATTAGGGCCATAATTTTTGAACAAATTACTTCTGAGCAGTATTTTTTTAAGGGGATGGAATATTTCCAACCTAAAATTTTGTAGAAATAATATCGACCTTTTTGTTGTTTGAAGCATTTTCACTCTAAGAAGTACTGTTAAGGCAATTATTTGATAGCGTGTAGCAGTAACTTAACTGCATAGTACGCAGCCGTCAGATTACTCAGCTTAGCGCTAGCAAGTTATTCTAAACTAAACATTGCGCGTTTGATAGCCGCCAGCTTGTCTACAAATAAACAAGTCATAAAAGTCGAAACATAGGTCGAGCACAGTTGAAACATACCCATTTCTAGACAACCACAGTCAAAACATAGCTGGAACATAGACGGATTATACCTGACTCCGATCGAGAAAGTCGAAACATAGATCGGTTACAGTCGAAGCATAGGTCGAGCACAGTCGAACATAGGTCGATCACAGTCGAAACATGGTTCAAACACAGGCGGAGACATAAGTCGAGCACCGTTAAAGAAAGCGACCAAAGTCGAAACATACAAAAGTTTGGTCAAGATTGTTGAAATATACCGATTTTTGATCGAAAAAATTGAAACAAAAATTGAGCACTTCGACCCGCGAAACCGGTAGGAAGCATTTTCACTCTAAGAAGTACTGTTAAGGCAATTATTTGATAGCGTGTAGCAGTAACTTAACTGCATAGTACGCAGCCGTCAGATTACTCAGCTTAGCGCTAGCAAGTTATTCTAAACTAAACATTGCGCGTTTGATAGCCGCCAGCTTGTCTACAAATAAACAAGTCATAAAAGTCGAAACATAGGTCGAGCACAGTTGAAACATACCCATTTCTAGACAACCACAGTCAAAACATAGCTGGAACATAGACGGATTATACCTGACTCCGATCGAGAAAGTCGAAACATAGATCGGTTACAGTCGAAGCATAGGTCGAGCACAGTCGAACATAGGTCGATCACAGTCGAAACATGGTTCAAACACAGGCGGAGACATAAGTCGAGCACCGTTAAAGAAAGCGACCAATCATTTGAGCTCAGGTAGTTTTTTTTAACTAGACAGACATTGACTTTTAACTTTCCATTGTCGCCAGAGTACTTGATATTAGACTAAAATCAAATTTAAGCTCACAGTTTTGTGATCTAGAGAGTTGAACTAATCCTTACTCATCCCATTTTTAGTCACGTTGCTTGAAACGAATCTGAGAAGGATCAAATTCTTTTCAATTTTGGTCGAAAAATTCGAAACATATCTATGCAGAGTCGAACAAATAAACTTTTGTCGCCGAAGTCAGTCGAAAAAGTCGGAACATATCTGAGTTGTGTCGAACAAAGTCAAACTCTTTTTTTTGGGGGTCGAGAAAGGCAAAACATACCAAATTTAGGTAGAGAAAGTCGAAACATACAAAAGTTTGGTCAAGATTGTTGAAATATACCGATTTTTGATCGAAAAAATTGAAACAAAAATTGAGCACTTCGACCCGCGAAACCGGTAGGAAAGGGTTTCGAAGTTTGACAATCCACCTTACGGTGGTTCAAAAAAGGGCGATATGCAAATTAGAGTTACCTACAAAAATGTCTCAGGATGGTTCTTTTATGGTTCCAAAATGACTTTTTTCGTTTTATGATTAAGTGTCACAATACTTACAAAAAGTTTGAAGAAATCAAAGTTATTAAAACATTATCAATATAAATATTAAATCCAAATAAAACAAGAAAAAATATATACTAATGGGGGAGTCGTGGTGAAGTGGTTACTTCTCCGCCTCTTAATTGAAAGTTCGGATGTTCGAGACCCACCATGAGTGGTGCTCTTTGCTTGAAGGTCAGGCAACGTTGCCCAACCAAAATATTACATGTAGTTCATGAGCAGCGGCACAACAGCAGTTTGTAATGATGAGCTGTACAGCTCGTATGTTGGTCCTTTCCCTCGTGGATAAACGCTCTTAAAAATACAGATATGAGATCAAGTAATTCGATTTGCGTTTACGAAAATTCAAACCAATAGTTAATTGTTGTCTGTAAACATTTTTCACATCCGATAACAGCTCAATATTTTCTTTACTCTCATATTGCTGTTTTGCGTGTCTCGTAGACTCCAATTCTTAACATGGTCTAACATGGTTGCTACAAAAATAAATTTTTGGGCTGCATTTTTTGTTCAAATTTTTTTTGTGATTTGTAGCATTTTAGGAATAGATATTTGCTCTATGGGCTTTACTTATCTTCAATTCGAAATTCCGGAAATATCTTAGGTTGCAGAAAAATTTAGGTAGCAAAATAGGCAAATATAGCAAACTTATACCATAATTTTGGTGCCCTATCAAGAGTGCCGTAAATTCTTATCAACACAAAGCAATCAAATGAAAAAACTTTGAAATCAAGAAGTTTACTACCAGCAACAATCAAAGCAAAAACCAGTTTACCAAATTATCATAAAGTACTAACGCATCATAATTTTAAAAAATCATAATTTATCACAAAACCCGAACGCACCATAATAAACAAACAAATTTCCTAATTTTTCATAATTTCCTAACACATCATAAATTTTGGAAAATGAGCAAAATTTTGGCCGATTGATTTTCAAAATTTTGAGCAAAAGGTTTGAAAGAAGCTAGAAGATTCCAGCTCCAGTTCGTTTCCGACGTTCTGAAATCCTCTTTCACTTTCGGCACTTTTGTATTCGACCCACTTGAACTCTTCAACAACCCGTATTTTAGCACGAAAAAACTCCACAGAAACACTTTGTCTTCATTTTAAAAAACTACCAAATAGCTTCTTCAAGGTTACCAATTTTCGTCATTGCTTACATTTTTGAAATACTTCCAGGAAAAGCGTTAAAAAAATGAAATCAACACAAAATTACCTTGATAGCCGGTTGCTAAGCAAGTAGCAAAGAACGTTCCGACCACATTCACAAACAGTGAGACGTTTTTTTTCATCAAATGAGGGTCGTTTTCTGTGCGTGGTACGAAGAAAAAAAAAGGTACAGACGCGTATAAAATTAGCGTTATAGGAATAACCAAAAAAATCTTTGTCATAAATAAATAGAAAACAAAAAAGAATAAAAATCGAGCAAAATTTTTTCTAAAATTTTTGAAAAAAAAAAAATATTTTTTAATTATTAATTTTTAATAATATTAATTTTTCCAATCGGTAACTGGAATTTTTTCTCGTAAACAAATTTTCTTAAAAACCTAGGCAAGCTTCACTTTCCATTGCACTCGACCTTTTTGGTGTCGCCTTTGCACCTTGAATTTTTTTTTTTAGTTGTTTTTTTATGCTGTAAGC